TATACACATGATCTTTTGCATTTGAGTAAGCCTATCCTCTTATCCTGGAATGATTTGTTAAGACTTTGCACACAATTCTTAATAAGCCAAACTGGATTTGAATTATTGAAATTTTGACACTGGAGAATAACATGGAAAGTTGGTAGTCACTGAGGTTTCCTTCTGGTCAGCAGGGATAGACACAAAAAGAAAAGGTTAATTGCTCTCTTCCAAGAGAAAGCAGGACAATAACTTTATTTTGTCCCCTGAGCAGAAAACACATCACAGACTTAATCAGTTATAGAGAAATTCCAATTAAGCAAAATTGGGAAACCAACTAACTATACAAACCAGTTACAAATATAAGTCCAATCCCAATAAAAATCCCCAAGAGAGCAATTGGTAGGACTGTTCCTCACCAGCAGTGGGAAAGGGTCAAAGGAGAGACTGCCTACAGAAATCACTTGCTTTTTTTCGCTACCCCCCACCCCCGCAGAGTGGATTGTAGAGGAAAAGAGTACTGTAGGCTGTTTGTGTAGTGTACCTGCATCTCCCAGACCTGGGCTGCTGGCACAATTGCATTGCTTTCGATGTGTAGAAGAGCAGCTTACTCTCTTGCAATCCCTTCCTTTTTGGGAGGGGGAGAATCAGGCAAAGGAGAGATTGACTAAAGAAAAATCTTGTTTTTTTTCTCCCACCCACCCCTTACAGAGCAGAGAGACTGGAGAGGAAGGGATTTCAAGAGAGTAAGCTGTTTGTGTAGTGCACCTGAGGCTCCCAGCCCTGAGCTACCAGTGCAATCACATTGCTTTTGATGTGTACAAGACAGTAAGCAGGCACTTGAGCATTCCAAAGGGCAGGTTAGGAGGCAAACAAAAGCCAAAGGTGTGAAACTGAGTAGTCTTGTGCCTTTCCAGCTGGAAAGCAGAGTTGTGGTCGTGATTTCCCACTTAGCAATTGCTTTGCTTAGTGGTGGAATTCCCAGTCCCAATTAGGGTTGTTAAGTGAAGACTACCTGCCCTAGAGCTTCCAGATCATTTGCATTTTCAGCTATCAGAGCAGAGTCATCAAGAATAGCATAGTTATTCTTCCGATTTTAAAACCACATTTCTTTTCTTCCTATTCAGTCTCCCTCAATATAAGTTCAGCATTTTGTCTGAATAAAAGGAGAGTAGGCAGGCTTGGCTCACTTTTTTGCTGATTTGCAGTCAATCTGTTTCACCATATTCCATCCAGATTATGTCTTTCTGTCCTGTGTGTAGGTTTTTTATGAAGATGTTCCAGGATTCCCACCTCCCTAAGGACATTCTACCATTTAACCTGGTTGACACAGTCAAAATAATCAATGATTGTGATCCCCACTATGTAGACCAGATCAAGAAATCAACTCCACAGAAAGGCTAAAACTGCTTTTATTAAGATTGGCTATAGGAATAGAATCTTGCAAGTTGATTTTGCTTTACTTGCCTCCTCTCTTATGCAAATTAGGAAGGAGTCTGCTACTTTCCTTCCTTTTGCTTGTTTTGAACTTAAGACATGTTTTTCCCCTCATCGCTTGGATTTGGCCTATCTCCGCCAAGGTCATCCTCCTTACTCTCTATAATGAAGTACGTATTAAGTTCTTTTTGGTATTCTTTGGCTTTCTCAATTATCCAACATGCATCAGCAATATTGTCTCTTGTTCCTTAGCCTTTTCTAAAACCAGCTTGAATATCTAGCATTTTCCTTTCCATGTACGGCTCAAATCTGCATTGGATGATCCTAAGTGTTATTTTGCTAGCCGGTACAATTATGGATATTGTATGGTTTGGTTAGAAACTTAACTGATTGTTCTGCTGCTGCTAGCCATATTTCTGAAAATATTATGTCAATTCCTATAGTCTTCCCACTTGATAATGGCCAAGTGTTGCTCTAAGTTCATCTTCTAGCACCAGAGGTGCTTGTAAATAGTTCTTGTTTGATCTTCTTTGAATCAATTACTATCTGTCCATTGGTACCCATTTTGAAATTAGAACCTCTGAGTTTCCATGTTTCTATTTTTTGTCTTTACAGATGTTGTTCTAAAACTGCTTCTTGTCTTTTCTAATAAGTCTCCAAAATTCTTTGTTAAGTTTCTTCCTGAGATTTTTGTCTTTGCTTGTCTTTTTGGTAGTTTTAACTGTTCTGACATCTGCTTTACTTTTTTCTATTTCTTGGTCTTTGGCAGTTTCTGTTCCCATTCATCCTTAGCTACTTCTTTAAATTCATTCCACAATTCCTCTGGTTCCCTCTCAATGACGTTAAGTGCTTCAAAGTGATTCCTGGTGTTCTCCTTGAAAATGGTGAGCATACGGTCAAGATCATATCATGGAAACTGACTGGCTTCTTCTTCGGTTTAGCTTGACTTGAAACTTCGGCATCAGCAGTTTGTAATTTGTTCCATAGTCAGCCCACCTCTAACAGAACTCTTCTACCTCCCTGTTCCAATAATATAGGCGATTTGATTTCTGTAAACTCTATCAAGTAACGTCCATGCATATAAGCATTATTTTCATTGTTCAAAGACTATGTTAGCAATGAAGAAATAACTGGATTAATAGAAACTGATAAGTCATTCTGCTTAACTTCTGTTTCCTAAGCCAGAGATGATTATACATTTGGATAATCATCACTTTAAAGAATTATCCAAGAAATCTAATACATATTATTTGGCCACTGACTGCACTGTACCCAAGTACTGTCTTTGCTATATCCTTCCTGACTATGAGAGCAAGCTGCTCCTTCTTTGTCTTCTGACTGAAAATGCCCAATTCCAGTGCATTTTAATTAACTTTAATTATCTAGCCTAAGATATCAGTGTGTAGTTGATTCATTTCATCTTTCATTGAGTTAAGCTTTCCCATGTTTATGCTTCTCATGTTCCATGTTCCCACTGTAATTCTGTCTGTGCAGCTTCATTTTTTTCCTGCATGGCAATATCAGCAACTAGATATCCCAAATGCTTTAATCTGGCCACATCTTAAGCACCATTACTATTCCAAAAGATCCTCAGCTCTTCTTCAGTAGCATGCTGAGTACCATCTTGAGCTAAGGGTCCCATCATCTGGCAATCTACAAGATATCTTAAATCACTTTGTCTATCCATCTGGTTTTCTTGGTAAAATACAGGAGTGGTTTACCATTGCCTTCTCCTGTACAATATTAAAAACCTTCATAATAATAGTCACTAAAGTGATAATCTGTCTCCAGCATCTTCCTATATGGATACTAGGTTCTTGCTTGCTTTAGCTGGGGAGTAGGGATAACTTCATGCCTTGGGTGACTCTGCTAGTAGTATATATTCTTACAGTATAATGCTCTCACTCATTCCGCCTGGGATCACATCCAACCTGCCATTATAAGGCTGTTGCAGAACTTGAGGGGCTACTGATATATTTAGTATTTTCTGCCTTGATCACTGGGTTTATAGATACAAACAAGCTATCTAAACACCTAACAGCATATGATTCGGACAGATCCTGAAAACCCAACATTCATTTAATTTTTATCAGTTCTGTACCCAGTAATAGGATGGGTTATTAAAAATAAAGAATCTCATGGGCCTATAAAAAGATGAGTTCACCTTGGGCAAAAAGTAGGATACAATCTCAAAATTACTCTATATGAATGGAAAATCCAGAGGTTCCTCTTGATCGAAAGAGTTATGACCTCCCTCTCGCACACACCTGGCCAGGGTCAACACTATTAAGAACACTATCTTCTATTTGAAGTTTCTCATAGGAATCCAACAAATGGCATCAAGGAGAGCCACTACAAAGGCCTGTAATAGTAGTTTAAATCAGAAATACAGAAATGATGAACCACTGAAGGAGAAAGGAGTGATGAACTTTTAAGGAAACATTTCAGTGAGGATGGGTGGAAATGGAAGTTCCATTATCTTGCAAAACAGAGCCCTACAAAGGTATTTGTTCATAAGCCTCCAATCAAATAAACCTGGCAATTTCTCAGCCATCACCATGAGGACAGTGGTTTTAATTTTAAACAATTTTTAAACAATACTATAGGAGTTACTTTCAATGAAAACTATTGACTATGTATTACTATGGACTTGAATTGAGGGTTGCACCTATCTTGAATAAGCCTTTCCTCCTGCTGTCATGGGAGGTGTTTACTTTCATATTTATTCCCATGGGAACAAAAGAAAAAGGAGGAGGTAGTTGAGGAGGGCAATGACGAACAAGTGGAAGAAGAGGGGAAATTCACTAAGGAAGAACATTATTCCCAGATCTGGTGAGAGGTTGAATATCTCTTACATTATGCCAAGTTCCACACTTGAACAGTATGTGCAGCCCACAGAAGGGGCCAGGAACTGACCCAATAAATAGAGGAAACAACATTATCTTCCCTAGGCCCTCAAATTACAGGAAAGAAAAAAATGGTAGAAAGTACCAGGGCTTCTGCCAAAATACAAAAGCAGACAGGACTGGGGAATTTTCCCACAAGTAAGCTCCCGCCCGCCTTTGATGATTCCTTGGCCCAGGCCCCTGATGCTATGGCTGGAGCAATAACGACTGTGCAGGCCAATATTCCTATCTTGGAGTCCACAGTTTGGGAAAACAGAGAGCTCAATTCTTTGTGATGTTCCCTGCACTATTTGCAATTTCAGGTATGGAGCAGCTCTTGTGAAAAAGAGGACAGACGAGGAACTGAAATAAGTGTTTGCTCAACAAGGTTCTGCACAAGGTCAGAAACTGTCTCCTGGAAACCTCTCCACAGGCTGAAGTGAACAAGCAGCCTCCCTGCTGCTGAGGGAATGCTGCAAGGCATAAGTTGGCAGTTCAGAGGCTTTTGCATTATTGGGGCTCTTGACAAGGCCAGAGGTGACTGGTTGCTTAATTAGCCTTCCCACTCACCCTATACATAATAGGAAAAAGGAGAGAGAGAGAGAACATCTGCAGCTTCTTTTTTATTTTTTAATCCAGGTTTTGAGCTGGCAGGAAAAAAAGCCCTGCTCTTCCCTAAAAAGCAGAGCAAAGGCTGATGGGGACATGCTCTGCCTTTTAAATAACAGCATATAACCATTCCATTAAAAAAAATCCCATCGTTTCTCATACTGATTTAAATAAATTCATCTGACATTATACTCATACTCACTAATGCATTTGGGGAAAAAGTCCTTCCACAAATCCTACATGGTAATAAGTCTTCAGGCTGTCGTGCACTTCCATAATCTGAAAAACAAACATATACACAATTATTGTGGTAATACAAATCCCACTTAGCATTTCTTAGCCAACAGCAATTGTTATCATGCTGGTCTACTTAAAAATAGGCTGATAACAAACCTAAACTACAATTATAAAACATGTAATCTTGTGGATTTAACTCATAAAATGGTCTTCAGAGATGGAAATGCTCTGCATTTCATATTTGGAAGCATAACATTTTCTTTTTCCAAGCTTTAAGATATTATATAGTACTGATGAATTTATAGTCCTTGGGAAGGTTCCCTGAACAATGAGGGGGGTCAGTAATTGAAAAAACACTAGACTATTGTATAAATAGCTTGAGGGACCTGAATGGTGAATTTAAAAATACAAGAACCTGGAAAGAGACATCCTTTATTGTATAGTCCACCAGGTTCTGCATCCAAAACTTTCCATTCAAAAAACAATACCTCATCTGTTTTCTTTTTCAAAGCTTTTAATGATCCAACTTAAGGGATAGGCTAGGGTAGAAAGTACTCCATATATTTTTTTTATCTGAAACAGAGCATAGCACAGCATTCAGAATGTTTTGGTAATTTTAAAGAAAGTGAAATTATGAATTATTCTGGAAGCACAAAGAACTGAAGTCTTTTGGTCACACTGCAAACAGATATAAATGTATTACTAACCATGTAACAGACTGAACAAAGAATGAGAGAGTAACTCATAACACTCCATTCACATATAATCTTTGGATTCTATATTGGGATTATATGGAAAACCCATAAAAAGAAAAGGAAAGGAAAAAAGAAAGGAAAGGAAAAGAAAAGCATTCATTTCCTAGGCCTGGCGATATATTAATAATATCAATATACAAACCTTCCTGTGGGAGCTTTAAAATGACTGTTTCATTATCAAAGCAAATTCTTCTGTTAAGCATATTAGAATAGAAAGCAAAGCTTCCTAGGTAATGCAAAGAAGCTATGGGCCACAGCTGATTTCCAGTGGAATTTCAGTGTCAGTATTTCCCCGAAAAGAATGTGGAACTGGGCAGATGTTGGTCAGTTCTGCAAAGATGTCCTACATTCCTAAACAAAAAAATCATTTAACAGATTGCTCATACTGTAACTGCTCATACTCAGGGGATCCTGAATATATGCTGATATCCTAGATTTTCAAAGTAATGTTAAGCAAAATTTTGTTTATAAACTGATGTTTTATAATGTCACCACTTACACAAATAAAAATCACCATTATTTCAAGAAACTAATTGATATTAATGATTTTCAACCAACCTATGGGCATCTATTATGTCCTTTTGGCATAATGGTAACAGATAGTACTACAGAATATTCAACAATTTCCATCTGATTGAACAACAGCAGTACTGTATTTGCTTTCAACAATCTCCCATCTCTGAATTACTGCTGTTGGCAGATGCCCAACTGACTGCAGTTCTATTTGCCAAAAACAAGTAATCTACTAGGAAGCTAAATATTTCCTTTGTTTTCCAATGATGTAATACAAAGAAGGAAATCATGCATGGTCTTATATGTATGACCTTTCTATATATGTAAGGGCCTATGTGCATAAATATAAGACACAATTACATTACATGTGATGACCACACAAACTTTTAAAAGCGATTAGAAAGAACACATTTGGGATATTAGATTCTCAGCCACAAGTTTCTGCATTTACATATAGAAAAGGAAGCAGACAAATCATTTTATTCATAATTCCTAATATTACATGTTTGTCAGCCCTTTGAAGTAGGCCAGTTCAAGAAACAGACATTGCAGGGATAACAGGAATGCTTCCAGAACCACACGATCCTTGGCTTAAAAGATTTAAGCATACCCTCCCCCACCCCCAGAAAAAAATTGAAAGCAAGAAAAAAAAACCCCAAACTATTTTAAAAGAATTTTAGATAACGCTGTCAATAATCCTCAGATTATAACAAATATCCTTAGATTAGACTGAACTTCAACTCTTTAATAGGGCACTTTTATTACAGAACAGTTCAGTTTTATGAGTTGAACTAAAGTTTTGGGGAGCAAACTGAAAAGCCACTAACCTAAATATATTTTCAAGAGAATACAAAGCAGTAACTCAGTTATAAACCAATTAAATACAAGAAACACTTGACTGAAAGGGAAAATGGTGTTAGGGTACTCAAGTAAATCCCGCTGCCGGCTCCCCCTCCTTTCTCAAAGGCACTCACCCTATCCCTACATGCACATTCTCAAGGGAAAATAAACTGCTAGCTCAGCCATAAACACTTTGAGACAAGGAATGCTGATTCAGATAAGGAGAGGTGCTGACAAGCAAGGCCATTTGGGAAAGTAACAGCTCAACAAAACAAATTCTAAGACCTCTTTGTTTAACTCAAGTAAGTTACTGTTTACAGTCCATTACCTCACCATCCTAAGCTCACTAACACACACTTTGCCATAATCCAATCAAACTGGCTATACTGTACTAATTAAATGTATATTATAATTTGCATAAGTCTATAAAGAGGGACTGTAACACCTCCCTTCTTTAGGCTTCTTTACCTCCAATAGCAATTAATAATCATAATTAATCTGCACTTCAATGAAGGTGTGCTAGTCTCTGGTTTAAATGAATTCTACAATTCTCCTACAGCTTTCACTTTTCAAATGTACCCCTGATCACTTCATGACCTAAGAAAGGCTTCTATTTCTTCACTGTAGTTTCTCCAAAGTAGTTTTTCCAAAGTACACCCAACTGTAGCAGACCAATGGTGTAATCAATAAGATCTTGTGTACTTGGGTAAAAACTGCAACTTCAGAATGTTGTAATACTTTATTGAGAGCTAAATGAGAAAATATGACTTTAAATTTGAATCAAGGTAACCTGGTCAGGACGTCATGTTGGCCTTTTAACAAATATAAGACAGGCAGTAATAAATAATTAAAATCTTGAAAGACTTTGCTTATGAATACCAAAATCTCTTACAATTTTGGAAGTTTTGCATAAGGTCTCATTTAATTCCCTCAATGTAGCCATCATGCAAGCATATATAATGACATCTGCAGGCCAGAAAACATTAGTGGCCACCAATATATGGAAAAGTGATATAAATCCAGAGCCGTACTTTATTCAGAAGCATACCACCAATACTGGAACTCTACCTACTTAATGTGACTGAACACCTGTTAATGAAATGAATCCAGCATTGTAAATGTAGTAGTCTGTGCAACAGAAACTCTTTTACTGCCTTTTCTCCCCATTCTAACCCAACCCTCTTTGTCTGGAGACTGGGATCCCCCTGGAGTAGAATTGAAAGGTGTCTAGAGGGTGCAGAAATTTAGAATCGACTCCTTCTGTTCCACCAGGAAAACTCAAACATACCATTGGATTCTAGGTATTACTATTTACAGCAGGGATGTGCAACACATGGCCAATTGTTGTTGGGAAGCATGCACAGTTCCTCAGCCATCCCATTTGAAGCTCCTAGAGCCTACTCAAAAAAGATAGAGCTGAAAATTTTATTAATGCATTAATGGATAAAATGGGTTTCTTAAGCACTCACAGTACCCCTTAAAAACCGTGGACTCCACAAGATAGGCTGATTTCTCCTATTTTAGATGGGTTTTAAGGGACGAAATGAGTGTCATGAGCTTTGCAAGGTTTAGAATTCAATACAATAGCAAATTATCTATGGCTTTCTAACTTTTTAATCAATCTCTAGAATTGAGCAAGATATTGGTCATCAGCTTTACACAAGACCCAACCTAACTTAAAACAGAAGCTTCTTTTAGGACATTTTCAGATAATGTTAATTTTTGCCACTCAGTTGTGACCATCCCAGCCTCACATCCTTTTGTTCTAAGAACTCTATGTGTCCTTGACTGAACTCCAGACTATTTTTTGCTATATTGTCATAGAGTCTCTTTTCTGTGCACCACCATAAGAGAACAATACAGAGAGATGACATGGAAAGTTGAGCATGACCAATTATTTTGTGAGCACTAATCTAATCTTATTAACATGGCATACTTTATCTACATTTCTGCTGCAGCAGGATGCAAGTCCTCAGTGATGTGTTCAACTTTCAATAATTTCAACATAATTCAGTATACTTTAAAAATGGACAGCAGAATCTACAAATACCTAGAAATCCAAAATAAATGCAAATAGGCTTTGCTGTGTATGCTACTTTGCTGTACAATGGGACTGGGTGGCACTTAGAGCCTTGTAAGTCTCTGGCAGCCCATGCAGCCCTGAAATATTATGTTTGCAGCTCTCCAGAGTTTTCTGACAATATGGTTTCTTGTCATTTTGAAGTGGGAAATTATAGTGTAAGTCTTAAAATATGTAGCTCACTTTCAAAACATTGAAAGAAAACCTAACTCCTCCACTCCCCTTGTGGCCCACATATATGATATGGCCATATACTTGTCAAAGCCTTACAAACCTTCCCCAAAATGTTAAGTGTAGTCCATGGGCCACCAAAGTTTGCCTATCTCTACTGTACAACTAATGCTGCACAGATACGGCCATATATCGCAGAAGAATAGAATGTAGGTAGAATTTTGGCTGCTTGTTTTTTTACCACAAAGACATTTCCCTGAGCAGTCTGGGGTCTGGTCTGCCATAACTCATCCCTGAAGAAATCCTTGTGAAATGCTTAGTACTGTTTTGCTGGCAGTCAAGCCTGATTTCAGCAGAGAGTCCTTAGAGACAATAGTGGAACCAGGGAAAAGCTGCTAAATGCTATTCCAACTATTGGTGTTCATGTCAGTGTGTTCGTGTGTATGTGAACATATTAATCCCCAAGAGAAAAAGGAAAATTCTTACACTTACTCCAAATGCTGACTAGATCCAAATAGGAAGAAAGAAAAGGGAACAGAGGAAACCTGTAAAGAGTGCGAACAGAGACCACCACTGCATTCAACAGTGCAGGACAATTTTTATCCTGTCTCCAATCCTCTTTTTTTAGGAAAGGCTGTTGAAAAAGTGGTCAGGTTACAATTTCAGAGGGCCCTGGAAGAAGT